GGCTGAGTTTGGAAGCAGAGAGAGCAGGGGACACTGCCCCCCTAGTCTTTTAAAAGAAGAATGAACAGTTCTTCCCTGTTCATGTTTTTGTTTCTTCAACAGGGAAGAGTGGGCAGGTCTAAGACAAACATGCTGAGCACATTCTGTCAGGAAGGACAGACAGGGAAAAAAGGGAGGAGGGGTTGCCTTGTATATTAAAAATGTACACACTTGGACTGAAGTGGAGATGAACGTAGGAGATAGCTGTGTAGAGAGTCTCTGGGTTAAGCTAAAAGGGGTAAAAAACGAGGGTGATATCATGCTAGGAGTCTACTACAGGCCACCTAGCCAGGTGGAAGAGGTGGATGAGGCCTTTTTTAAACAATTAACAAAACTATCCAAAGCCCAAGATTTGGTGGTGATGGGGGACTTCAACTATCCAGACATATGTTGGGAAACTAACACAGCGAGGCACAGGCTATCCAATAAGTTTCTGGACTGCATTGGAGACAACTTTCTGTTTCAGAAGGTTGAAAAAGCTACCAGAGGAGAAGCTGTTCTGGATTTGGTTTTAACAAATAGGGAGGAACTAGTTGAGAACTTGAAAGTGGAAGACAGTATAGGGGACAGTGATCACGAAATAATAGAGTTCATGATCTTAAGGAAAGGTAGAAGGGAGACCAGCACAATTGAGGTTATGGATTTCAGGAAGGCAGATTTTGATAAGTTCAGAGAACTTGTAGGTAAGGTCTCATGGGAAGCCAGACTGAAGGGAAAAACAACTGAGGAGAGTTGGAAGTATTTCAAAGGGACGTTGTTAAGGGCCCAAAAGCAAACAATTCCGCTGTGTAGGAAAGATAGAAAATATGGCAAAAGACCAGCTTGGCTTAACAAGGAGATCTTGCATGATCTCAAAATAAAAAAGGAGTCATATAAAAAATGGAAACTAGGACAACTAACAAAGGATGAATATAGGCAAGCAACACGGGAATGCAGGGGCAAGATTAGAAAGGCAAAGGCACAAAATGAGATCAAACTAGCTACAGGCATAAAGGGAAACAAGACGACCTTTTATAAAGACAGACGGTGTCAGGCGGTGAAATGTTGTGTCCAGCGGCCCTTTCCTTCAGGGACAGGGCTGGGGGCAGCTTTCCTCATAGCGGCTCCTGGGAGACCGGATGGGCTCCTGTCTTTCCTTTGTTTCCCTGGTGATTCTGGGCGCTCACCCCCATTTCTGGGAGGGTGAAATTCCGGATTTTGGGAAAGAAGGAAAACTCCGAGAGCTAGTGTGTGTGTGTGTGTGTGTGTGTGTGTGTGTGTGTGTGTGTTTCCTGTCTAAGATTCCGGCGTCTACCCCATACTCGCTTTCACTGCCCCTTGTCAGTCATATGTTCCTCTGAGCAGCCCAGCGTGGTTTTTGCACAGCCCCGCTGCCGGCCTGTGTCACTGTGTCACTCCCGGTGCAGTAATAGGTGGCGGAGTTGCTCAGTTCGATAGCCGGTTTCCAGAGGAGGAAGGATTTGCCCTTGGTGTCGTGGGTGGCATTGAACCTTTTTCAGATCCCTTCTCCTGAATTTTGCCTGGCGAGGTCCTGCAGGAGCATCTGGGGGGGCTGGCCAGGATATTGCACGTACCAGAAGAGATAAGGAGTTAGAGAATTGGTAGGTGCAATTCAGACGCAGCTGGTCCCCTTGAGAGATGCCGATGCTGCTTTCGGTTTGGGTCATGGAGTCTGCCCCAAAGGTGCCTCCTGCGGGAGGAGCAGAGAACACACACACTCAGCTCCTTGTCTAGACACAGCCCTGAAGACCCCGAGATCGCAAGGAGACGCCCCGAGAGACGGTCCCTGGCACAGACCACGAAGGGTGAAGCCAGGCAAAGCACAGGGACGAGCAGAGCTATGACCAGCACCGGCGGGAGCCACGTTGGAGCCATGCTGGGCTAGTGGGTGTGTGTCTAAACAGGGACAATTCTGCAGCCTTGCAGGAACCGGTTTCTCTGCAGGGTTCGCGACTTCGCGGGCGGGGACAAATACTCTCCCTGCTAAGGCCCCTGGCGTGGTCCGTGTCTCTGAGCGGGGTTGCCGGACGAGCTGCCACCGACCTGCCCAGGAGCGAGTCTGGCTGCTCTGTGGTTCCCCAGCCCACCTGAAACCGGGTTGTCGGTGGAGGAGCGAGTCTCTGGACTGTGAATGTGGCCCCATGGAGCGAACAGGTACCGGAGGCTGATCAGGGAGGAGGAGGCTCGGTGCGGAGGGGGAGAGCAGGGGCCGTGTGGGGAAAATCAAATAACTCCAATTGTGTCGGGGGGGGGGGAACCTGGAGGAAAAAAAAACCCTCTGAAAGAAAACTGCTGTAAGGGTTAAAAGTTTTCCAGGCCTCACTCCCTGTAACAGAGAGAAATCAAAAAGACCCTTACAAATGACTATCTCAAATTCATGGATACTCCTAGTCTGTCACAATTTGTCATGTAAACCCTTATCTTTGTCACAGTTTGCCTTGTAGACTCCTCCACTCAAGTTCTCATGTGGCTTTGTGTACTGTAAAACTTACTTCTAGCACTCCTGGTGTGAACAGAAACATCTGAGTACTTGTGCTGAGACTTTGATATGTTAAAGAAAAACAAATAACTGAAGTGTCTAAGCATTCTGTATATAGGATACCTGAATCTGTCTCTCAGGTGCTGCTTTCACTCTTGGTGTGACAGCCAGCCTGCATGCATCATAAAGTTTTCCCTTCTAGATTTCTCTCCTGCCTCATTGATTTGATTTGAGCTCTGGCCTCGAACCCTTCTGGGGGCTCTGTACCCCAGGGGAGCGAGATTTCCCCCTCATCTGCTCCAAAAAAAAAATCTTGTATCTGGCAGATTGGTCTTGGTGATGGAGAAAGACAGATATTTTTAAGGGCAGATCTTCCCCTGCGCCAGGAAACCAACTTTGCCACCAGAGAGAGAGAGGTTTCCTGGTGCCCGAGGCGATGACAGTTTCCTAATCTCCATCGTGTATCTGCCCCTGTGTCCGCCTGTCCCGCCGTAGGTGTGTTCTGGGAAAGGTAAGACACTTCTCCTCCTACCCTTAGAATATTAATTTCCCCGCGGTAATCAGGCAGAATCCCTGTTTGTGTTTAGTGTCAGGGACGGTGAAATGTTGTGTCCCGCAGCACTTCAGGAACAGGGATGGGAGCAGCTGTCCTCCGAGAGGCTCCCGAGGGCGTGGGGAGATGGGTCTGGTGTTTCCTCGTTTTCCCTGGTGATTCTTGGCACTGACCCCATTTCTGGGAAAGCGAATTCCGGATTTCGGGAAGAAGGAAAACTCCGGGAGCTAAAGTGCGTGAGGAGGGGAGGGCGGGATTTCTGGTTCCAGATAAATGTTTACTCCCCCAGCTTCTTCCTCGCAGTAATGTCAGGAGATCCAGTGTTCGCCCCTGCTGCTCTACGCAACCCTGAGCGTTTTTTGCGCAGCGCCGCTGCTGGCCCGAGTCGCTGTGCTTCTCGCGGCGCAGTAATAGGTGGCGGAGTTGCTCAGTTCGACGGATGCTTTCCAGAGGGGGAAGGATTTCTCCTGTGTCTCGTGGGTGGCACTGAACCCTTTTCGAATCCCATCTGCCGAATTCGGTCCGGCCAGGTTCCACAGGAGCATCTGCGGGGCCTGGCCGGGATATTGCACGTACCAGTAGAGATAATCGGGAGGGGTAGAGAATTTGTAGGTGCAATTCAGGTGCAGCCGTTCGCTTTCGGATATGACGACGCTGCCTTCAGTTTGGTTCACGAAGTCTGCTCCTGAGGTACCTCCTGCGGGGTGAGCAGAGAACAGACCGGCTCAGACACCCCAGAGCCGGGCTGGTCCGGTCCCAGAGAGCGGACGGGTCACAGACACAAACCGCGCTGCGGACACACGCGAAAACTGACAGGTGGGAGCGCACAGCCGAATTGCAGGGCGCTCCGTGTGCGGACCTGGCTACACTCGCCCAGCCGCAGCACAGC